ATCTCTGACTTCACCATATACCCCTTCATTCCTACAAGGTATATTCTTCAAAATTCTAAGGGTTTTCTACCAGTTCTAATGTTTCAGGATTTAAAAAATTCATGTGGCAGACACAGAGATGCATTGCTCAGAATCCCCTTCAAGAAAGAACTTACTGCTTAGTTGCAAGGAGTATGATTAACTTACACCTGTCAGCTGGTAATGTCTTTAGGTCCACCTTAGCATTTGAAGAACTAAAGTCATACTTTTCTTGGGGTAGCCCCAACCAATGACTAAGTAAAACGGTAAAAAGCCTAGACATTGCCACCCATTTTGCTCATGAGTTCCCCACTGAGCTGGCAGAGATTGCATTTGATGCCTTTCCTCTTCCCAATCCTGCTTCCTCCCCTTTCCTTTCTTTCACAGGTATTACTCCCTAATAAACCTTTTGCACTCCTAATTCTATCTCAGCATCTGCTTCCTGGAGCACCGAACTGACAGTTCATGTTCATCTTATTTACATACTTTCCATAATTTTTAGACTTTAATCCTTTACTTTGTCTCTATTTCTTTTACTTCACATTTCATGGCTATTTAAATCTGTGCCACTCATTACCCTTATGAAAGTACCGAAGGGCAACTGAATATACATGTTCAAACCATGGCTATAAAGTTAAAAAACAGCTCTCAGGTACAGCTAATGGAATCAATTTTAAAAGACATCCTGGTTATACTACAGAATCACAGACCTTCAGAGTTTATAGGGATCTTGGTGGTAATCTAGTATAACTGTTACCTGATAAGAGAACTGAAAATGTAACACCTTTTAGAACCAAACTGCCTAGCCCAGCTGGCTCAAATGCTGTCAACAGCTTTATTCAAAGCTTAAAAAGCAGTTTATTTTTAAAATGTGCTTTTGTGATAACAGTGAATTTTTAAAAGTGTGTTTATATATAAGCCTCAATGTCTTATCTCAAGGTATTTAAATTGAATTATTTAAAGCTGGACTATAATATAAATAACTAGAATTCTTCTGCATTTAGTCCTGAACAAATGTTACAGCAAATGCACACAATTACAATCATATTGATAATGTA